AAGATAGAGACCACTGAAAAATAGCTCACGAATTAATGCATAAGAGCTACATGTAAGATTACCTTAGGAAGTAATAAACTATTCGTTATTATGTAGTGGTTATAATTGATTAAAATGTTCATTACTTTAATTCAGATGCCAAAAGTATCACTTGGCATGAGCCCCCTCCAGTTGAGATTGTAACAGATGATATACTGGTTCACACAAATAACGTACAGCTTTATACAGGGTCGCTTAACAAACGGCTGAACTGGAAGTTTAGTCTAGCAGAGGATCCTGTTTTAGTACTTTTACAACTTGATGGTTCCGGTTTAGCCACAATAACACCATCAACGTCATCAGTTACAGTAGCTCAAGCCTTATCCTCCAGAGTCAATGTAACCTGGGTAAGTGGACATGTAACTCTGATCATTTCCAATGTAACTACTGCTGATGAAGGGGTGTATAGCTGTCAGGTGACTACTGCTAATGTGAAAGTATGGAAGCGCAACATTAACGTGGCTGTTGTAGGTAACTACAAGGTTATTGTTTAAATTGTACTGTTCATTTAGTAACACAATCCCTCATGCATTCACGTACATATATAGTAGCAGATTAATTTGTTGAACTCAACACTGCAATGGAAGTTAATGAAAACAAAGTGCAATAGATAAGATAAAAGAATATTATTGTAATTCTAATTATTTTATTGATTCAAAATCTTAATTGCAAAGCTGAAAATCCCTAGTTTTCTGTACAAAATTGATCTTTTTTGGCCAAAATTGCTCGTCATGATAATTGTCTTATACTATTTTTAGGACGATGACGTTGTCGATTTTTGAATTTAAATTTGCCAGTCACTACATTGGAAGTGCCAAATTAATATTATTATCCACCAAAAAATTGTACTCAACGCTATTAATTTTGTACTTGTTCATTTATTTATATGAAACATGACTTAAAAAATAAAAATTATTCATTTTGAAATTGACATTGTTATTATGTCTTAGTCCCAGCTACCATCACCAATGTAAGTAGTGACAAAGCTTTGCTTGAGGGGTCAGATCTACAGCTGTTCTGCATTGCATATGGCAGACCAGCTCCAAATATCACCTGGGTGAGAATCTTCCGAAGTAGTAGTGAGAGTAATGTACTACACAGGGGTACCACCTGGGATTTTAAAAAAATTAGCAGGACTGAGGCTGGTTCTTACCGCTGTATAGCTAGCAATGGAGTAGGAAATCCAGTGAGCCGTACACTACGAGTTAATGTAGAATGTGAGTACATGTATATGCATGTAGTATATTTATTTCTAAACTACTAGTACCTGTAAGGCTGTACATGTACGTATGGAAAGGTAACTGAGCATTAATTGTTGCGATAGCACATGCGCTTAATAATCACAAGGTTATAATCTAGGAGGTCCTCAATGCATCTGAAGCTTGGGAAAGTTCTTACTTTTGAACTCATGTTTTTACTAACTCTTTCCATAACTGGATCTTTTCAAGGCATTGCAGTTTATGCATGTATATGTTATGGTTGCCTTTACATGCATATTTGTATCACAAAAGAATCAGTGGTGTACCTGTGTATGTCTAGCCTTTAATACCTATAATTCAGAACTAGGAATCTTGCGGGAAAAACCTTTTCTTAATCTAAAGTCAAGCCTTTTTCTGGACATGGTAATATGAAGAGCTGAAACTTACAAAAAGCCACTTTTAGGTTGGGCACCTTGCAGCCTTCTGATCCAGATGCAATAGGTTGAGTGGTAGTCATCTTTAGAGTCAAATTGATTTGTATCACATCAGTTGATGGTTTTAGGCGTTGGTTATTGACCTGATTAGTCAATTAGGTCGCGATGTTATTAGCTGTCTTTCAGTTAAGCTGTAATGCTGTTTGCTAAGAAGACTCAAAATACATTGTTGTCTTATTTCGATTGTCTGTTGTCACCCAAATTGTCGGTTGTCCAGTCCTTCTCTCATGGTTAGTTTTGCTTGTGTCTGTAAATAAGTTGTTTATAATTATGGTGCTGGTAACTGTTGACTAAGGTTCAGTGGCGTTTGTTACAATTTAATAAATCAGTTTTCTAAAGTGAGTCGTTGATAGCCATCTGTATTTCACCGAGTCTCAGTCAATTTTAATGTTCTTTAAATCGTGCTCAGCAATATAATGTTATCGTAACGTCACAATTTTTTTGTCCATCATTTGCGTCAGTCAATCGCATGCTAAGGTTTCTGCCAGTTTCACCAATGTAAGGGACCTGGCAGTCGCAACATTTGATTTGTAAACAGCTCTCTATTTGTCCTCGGTTTCTCTTTGTCCTTGACGTTAGTAGTCATAATTTAACACCCCCTGATTGATGTTCTGCCATTACTCACTTTTTTAGTTCGAAAACTCGTCCCCAGGTCTTCCTGGTTAACATTTCAATAATCCGCAACTTTTTATGTGCTGCACCTTTGACGTCATTGGTTCAACATGGCAAATATCTTCCAAATATTGTCAACAGTACATGTACATGTAGCTAATCTTTCAGTGGACAAAAATGTGTCTAATAACGCTAGAAAACTGTTTCTCATCTCAGTTCCTCCAAATATCACTCTTCAAAGTAAGTACTATGTCGGGAGAGAAAAAAGTGTGTCGCTTGACTGCAAGGTTGATGGATACCCTCCACCCACAATAACTTGGACTCCATGTAATGCTCAAGAAAATGTGTGTGATCAGAGCGTGCTGAATATTTTAAAAGTTCAAAATGATGGGATATATACCTGTACAGCAAAGAACTGTGTGGGCAACGATAGTGCAAGCACCAGTCTTGGTAAGTCTTTTTATTTCATGTGTGCCAGCTTTCTGTGCTCAATTTTTTCCAGTTCTAAGATTGACACCATTTTACCCTTCCATTGATGAGAATATTACTCCATAACTTTGTCAAAGTATTGTGAATCAACAAGATTGACATTTTTTTTTTATAGTTGCGACGAAATGTTATCATTAATGAAAGGACAGAAAGATAAAAAACCTGGTGTCAAGTTGTTAATGGTCATTAATGTATCCCTGGCATTTTTTGTTGGTAGAGACCCCCTAGGAGCATTGCTTGACTTTCATTTAACCTAAATTGTGAAAATTGCATTTCCCAAGATCTGGTTTTCATTTTTTTTAAGGTTTGGAAGTGGGTGCGGGGAGGGGGCATGAAACAAAACCCTGGATTAAAGAGTACCTGACAACTCCATTTTATTGGCCATTAAGTATTTTCAGCCTTGTTAGCACAATGTTTGTGAAATTCCTTTGTCTTATTTATCCTTTAAAGGCCAAATTATTTTCATGTTACAAAAATGTTAACAGTATGCCGTGTGTCCCCACTGTTTCCGCAAACTCTTTCATTGCCTGAATGTCAATATCACTATGGGCCCAGGTGAGGGGACTGCTGCAACAAATCAGTAATACTTTTAATACAAAAAATGTTAACTGCTTGCCCATGTGATTTCTCGCCCACTGTTTATTCTTTTTATAGTGTAACTGAAAAGCTTTCAACTTAAATGAACTTCAGTAAAAAGTTCGGATCTTTTTAATCATATCTGAAATTTTGTTGAAAGAAATACATTGGATTGTTAGCAGCACTAATGTTGCGTGAAACTTAGAACTTGGGATTCGCACTGTGTGTGTACTTTTATTTCGAAAATATAATGCAATCTTAACTGCAAATTTATTCCTGTGAGCTTGCTATTTTGAGGTTTGTACTTTGGGAAAGTCGAGAAGTTTTGTGGAATTAATACGGCTCAAGAAACCTCAGATACAGTGTCAGTTTTAATAACGTCGCGACAACTGACTGTCAAAAATTGGCCTCATAATGCATTACTCCTCTATCAGTCAACCAATCAATGGAAATGCAGTCTTCTATTATTGCCCGAGACGAAGAGTGTTCTTGTATTTTCGTTAGGGATAGTCGGTTGGAAATCAAATGCACTTCTTTCACGTCTAACTAAATATCGAAATGGCTTTTTACTATAAAGGCCCTCGTAGTGGGGTGACGTATGTCCCAGTCTGCCTAAGTCAACGGTCAACCTGTTTTTCCTGAAAACTTTATGGGTCCTAAGATACTCATAAATTGCGTTTTTAATTCGTATCAATCATATAGTGTTATATTTTATTAAGTATTTATTTACATATTTTTCTGCTATTTCCCTCAAGTGATAGGAGCCAAGGTGATAAACGTGACTCTCACCATCACAAATAAAGAGTGCAACAAAGATGATCAGTCCTTCTTGCAGAGTCTAAAAGAAGCGGTAATTTGTAATACTGTTTGTAACTTTATTTACTTATTTTGTTAGTTCACTATGTGTAAAAGTGATAGCGGTATGTGTACAGTCAACTCTCTTGTAAGCGACCACCCTTGATGCACAACACCTATTATTTTATGAATCACACATGTTCTTTTGTTATTCAACATCCTTTATTTAACTTACATACTTCATGAATATTTAACTAACTGAAAGTCCGGGGAGGGCTTGATAATGTAGCAGGGAAGAGTGGGGCTGATGAATTGAATAAATTGCTAATTATAAATGCAAGGACAATATCTATATAAATACCCGGGATTTATTTGTATATTGCCCTGCTGCCCTGGGCAATATATAATGGTAATTGAACTGAGTGGAGTGCAATTTGGTCTGAAATCATACGCGTGATTTCGAAATCGAACGAGCGCGCAGCGCGAGTTCGATTTGAAATCACAAGTATGATTTCAGACCAAAATTGCACGACACGAAGTTCATTTACCACTTTATTACATCCATTTTGAAATCACTCATTTTTTTTAAATCTGCATTTATTGGAATTTATTGGTCCAAAAGGCTGGTTCGTAAAAAGCGGAACCGGAAACGCGTTTACATGTACTTGCCATGTCAACAAAACAAAATGACAGATGTCACTTTACAAAAAACCCATTGGAGCGCAAAAACTTCATTCGTGCAAATGTTCAAGCAGTTCTAAAATCTTGTCGCTGCAAAAATAGTCTTCTTCAAAGTTTAATCCTCGTCGTCTGACTCAATAATATAAGCCCTTCGCTTCTTCTGCGGTTGTGGCTGAGGCATCGCGTTTTCTTGGGAGAAAAAATTGAAAGTACAGCCGGTGTAATTCTGCGATGAAGCAGCAGTATTACCAGCACACGTCAACGCTGCCATGCGGTACTGAAACTGTGAGGGACAACTTGGCGGAAATCCTGCAAAACCAGCAGCCTGAAAATCAGGATTCAGGAATTCTATGGCCTGGTGCATTTGACCTTGCTGTTGGGCGCGATTAATAGGAACCAGTGGTGCTCGTTGGTGTAGGACTGGCTGTTGGACTGTGTTTTGAATTGTTGGTGCCTTTGCAGCTGTACTGTTTTGATTGGAAACGTCGTTGGGACCGTTTTCATTTGGCACTACTTTAAATCCGCTAATTATGTGAGACAGTTCTTTCCGTTGATTCTCGTCTATTTCGTCGTAGTCGTCCAACGAAGATTCACGTGCATGGCCTGTTATTTCACAAATAACGTTGCGCGGCTGACCAGACTTTTTCAATTTGGACACCAACGTTTTTCTCATGCTGTGGTTGGTCAGTTTTTTGTTCGTCTTAAGACAGGAGGCCATGGATTTCATGATGTTGCCGATGGTATTTTCGCCCATTCTAATTTTGGTGTACCAGATATCATTTGATTTGGGACGATTTATAACGCTCAGGTACAGTGGCCCTTTATCTTTCATTCCGTCGGGTCGCTTGGATAACCAAAGCTTGAAAAGGCGCACTGGATCAGTTTTTCCGCCATCGGTGGAATACATAGCTTGTGGTGTTGTTCTTCGCGATATTGTTAGACCACCGCTTCGTGTTTTAGTGGGACCTTCACGGAATTCTACAACTTCGCTGCCGTCTTCTTGTTGTCTTATAACGAAGTCCTCTACGTAGGCGTCATAGTGCTCCTGGCGACCTCTGAATCCAAGTTGCTCAGTCAAGTTTTTGAAGTTAACATTGGTCAAGACTTTTCCGTTAAAATCACCAAGCTGACCTTTTAGCCAGAGGGAAGACTCTTCCTCCGAAGTGAGAGGCTGAGATTTGTTTGGTCTTTTCCCCTTTCCTTGTTGTCGCAGAGAAATTGCCTTCGCGTGGAGGATTTCTTGTGAGTTGTGAAACTCCCTCGATCGTACGATGCTCAGCGGATAATTCTTCTCCTTTAAATACCTTTCAATGGCACTCTGCATGATTTTAAGGCATTCCGGCTCGTAATCATCTCCGTCCCTTTTTTTTACTTCGGCGTAGAACTTGCTCAGGATGTTGTCAAGCTCTTCCGGCGCCATTGTTTCTATGTTTACATTTTCTAGATGACGAGACTGGCACCAACTTTTGAATACATTCATCCACTGTTTTGTCGAGCGGGAGGTATTTTTGTTGACGGCAACAGCCTTGAGCTCTTCAATTTCTTCGCTTGAGATTTCAGGGAACCTTGTAGAATCTACATTTTGTACTTTCTGAGTTGGCTCTGGATTTGTCTCTTTGTTGCTGGACTCGGGATCGCACGCATCCGGAGCGGATGTGGAGGAAAAATTATCAAAATATTCGTCAAACTGGACACTGAATGTCGGAAACTCCCCTAAAAGTACTTCTTCAGCCTCAAGGAGCTCACTATCATCATTAAGAAACTGTAAGTAATTAAATTCGTCCATTTTTGCCTTTGTAAAAAGAAAGTTTTGGCAACAAAAACCTTGCACAAAAATTGTCACACAATATTGCCTTTATTTGTTTTTTGTTTTCCTGCAATTTGATTGGTTACTGTGAATGATCCTTGAAATCTGATTGGTTGTTTTGTTTAAGTGCTACTTTCTCATTGGTTGAAAAAAAGATGCGATTTAGAGCACAAAATAGTGCGATTCGTGAATAAATCACATCACTCTGAGCCAATCAGATTGCAAGGATCACCTGTGATTTCCAAATGGATGTAATAAACAAATAAATCCCTTCCATTTATAATGAGCAATTGAAGTAAATCATACATCTCCTTTGACACCGCCAAACATTCTGAGAAAATTTCTCCCTTTAACACAAATATAGAAATTATTCTGCAACTATAGAAAATACAGTAGTATCCCATATATCATACAGGCTATGTGTTCACTCTAAGAAAATTTTAAGTCTGATATCTCGGTGGCCCGTACGCTCCATAATCAACTTATCTGACATTCCTTTTTCCAGTCCACGTGTTGCTGTTGTGGCCCTCAGACTTTGATTGCTGAATTGGCCCTGTAGGTGTGCGTCTTTACACATTTTGCTAACAACGTTTCCAAGCTTGTTATGTCCAACAGGAGTCGATGTAAAGCAAACTGCAAAAATTAACAGTGAAAATAAAAATATTAAACAAAACTGAAACTTCTAATTACCGTCCCCGGCTTGCGACCATTTAAAACTGACTGACATTTTTATCCTCTTGCACCCGAATTGTAAATGATCTATATTTATAGGTATCATACCTTCATCCGTAGACTTGTATTTCTGTCG